ATTATCTAACAGAATTTTTTAATTCACTTGATCTGCCACAGCAACATGTGGCCGGGTACAGCTAGTATACAATATAATAAATAAGTTAATTTTAGTAATAAGAGCAATGGCAAACCTTATACAATTTGTACAACTTTATACAAGTCTGTTAATTAAAAATTCAATGACCGATAGAAGATGTGATGCCTTTACAGAACTGTACAAATTCAAAGAAGGTTTTAGTGGGTCCATATGGTGAGACATACCCACCAAGTCATGATGTAAACCAGGCCGTAAATATAAAAGCTGAGGAAGTCTCAGACTCACAAGAGGAAGTGGATCCTTTGATAATAACAGTTCAAGAGATAAAGGCTGAACCTGAGGTGAGCTGTATGTTTCTGTATGTCCACTGTAAGGCAGATATCAGAGATAGCAGGCATTCCAGTTGGCTTTCTCATCTCCCTCTGTCTGTGTGTGCACATGGAACAACTCCATTGTGCTTCTGACTCACCTTTGAAGTCCTTTTTCTGAAGTGTCTCTAGACAGTTATGGTTTGTTGAATTCATTCATTCATATATTCTCCTTCCATGAATCCTGTCTAGAATACATTCTCGTGCGGATGTGGAGATCATCCTAGTTACAGTCACAACTATGAATTACAGTTGTCATCCAATATCATACACATTTGTAATAAAATACTGATGAACATATACAATATAATAAATAAGTTAATTTTAGTAATAAGAGCAATGGCAAACCTTATACAATTTGTACAGTTTTATACAAGTCTGTTAATTAAAAATTCAATGACCGATATAAGATGTGATGCCTTTACAGAACTGTACAAATTCAAAGAAGGTTTTAGTGGGTCCATATGGTGGGACATACCCACCAAGTCATGATGTAAACCAGGCCGTAAATATAAAAGCTGAGGAAGTCTCAGACTCACAAGAGGAAGTGGATCCTTTGATAATAACAGTTCAAGAGATAAAGGCTGAACCTGAGGTGAGCTGTATGTTTCTATATGTCCACTGTAAGGCAGATATCACAGATAGGCAGGAATTCCAGTTGTCTTTCTCATCTCCCTCTGCCTGTATGTGCACATGGAACAACACCACTGTGCTGCTGACTCACCTTTGAAGTCCTTTTTCTGAAGTGTCTCTAGACAGTTATAGTTTGTTGAATTCATTCATTCATATATTCTCCTTCCATGAATCCTGTCTAGAATACATTCTCGTGCGGATGTGGAGATCATCCTAGTTACAGTCACAACTATGAATTACAGTTGTCATCCAATATCATACACATTTGTAATAAAATACTGATGAACATATACAATATAATAAATAAGTTAATTTTAGTAATAAGAGCAATGGCAAACCTTATACAATTTCTACAGTTTTATACAAGTCTGTTAATTAAAAGTTCAATGACCGATATAAGATGTGATGCCTTTACAGNGCATTAATCTTATATAAATAAAAATGTAAATGTTCGTTTGAGTCTTACC